TCCGTCTCGGCCAACGAAACTTTCCATCCCTCCGCTGTCGGTTAATTGGTACCAGACTTGGTCGGTTAATTGGTACCAGACTTGTATGGGAGGATACAAGTACTGACTCACGAAAGTCGGCTGGTCACGAGTCATTGTATAGGCCATATACGCATTCATATGCCAAAACGATTCTGTATGGAGGTCGAATGTGTGGGCGCATCCCTGTGACGGGATTAATTAGTGCCTCGAGACTTCATCCACTTTATCCTTTGACGAGGCCTTGGGAAGGCCTCGTGTAATAACCTGGGATAGGGAACAGTCGAACATTCAGCTGACCGCTGATTCATTTCTTTTCAAAAGTGTAAGTGGTAGCGTGTTGGATTAAAATTCCTGCTAACAATTAGAATGCTTCATCATGGGCTTACAAAGACGGCTACCTCTTCTCCTGCTTGAATTTTTACATTTTTTTTCTGAACTGAAAATCCAGGTAAGGGAAGTTCCATAACCTTGACCCTTTTTCGGCACTATCACGCACATGCATGTTTTGACGATCCTTTTCCGTATTTGTTTGTAATCGCTGTTTTTTCATCTCACCTTTTCCTATCCCATGCCACATGAATGTTGCAGTTTCGTGAGCAGTCGTTAATAACTTTTTCACTTACATTCGATATATACTTCTGAAATGGAGATGTATCAGATTACTTTCGCTATGATGGACTTTGAAAATATGGACGTAGCCACGATGTTTTCGGCTTTCATTGGGATTTTGGTGATTATGGTCTCATCAATATACTACTTTACCAAAAAACAAAGGGAGGAAAGCATTCGAGAGCGTGAGGAAGAGTGTGTTTTGGACTTTTCTTGAAACATTGTTTATATTGTGTTCTACTGCTCAACTTCCAGGGACATTGCTCAGGAGGTAGAGGAAGTGGATGAGGATGCAAAATTAGATGCAACTAGAAAAGCCAACAAGCACCGAAAAAACGACCACTGGAAGCCGAAGGTAACTTTATGATGGCTTGCTGAAAGGAAAAAAATAATCAAATCAGATATACCGTATATGCTTTTCTGTTCCAGATACTGTTAGTGTGTTACAGTTACTCTGTCTTAGGCCAAGGAGGCTTCGTATGACCATCTATGGTCAGTGACGACTTTGAAGGGTCATACAGCTGATGTTACCGGCGTGGACTTCGCTCAAGATGGAAAAAAATTCGTCACTGTATCTTCAGATAGAACTGTATTTTTATGGGATGTGAGGGTAGGTAAACGTTACTGTGCTCATCAACTCAAGAGCTGAGAGAATTACAAGTAGTGTTACATCTGGTACTCATCGATAATTGTTAACCCATTGCCACATGGTGCAGTACGCCTCTTTGCCTCTGCGTGAATCTCGCTAAAGTTTGAACAGCACATACTTTGCGATTCGCTCAAACCCGCTCTGTGTGGCCATGTGCTGCACGCCGTTAGTCTCGTCGTCGCTTCGATTATGAGGAAAACGCCGCGCTTATGCACCATCCGGCGCAAAAACGCCACGGTACGCAATGGGTTTATTCCATTCATACCTATTCAGTTTATTAATTCTGTGTGTTTTTCTTCGTTATGAGAAAAACTGAACGGTAATAGCAAAAGAGAATGCTATGACCTCATTCGTGGACACTCTACTGCCCTTATCAACACGAATGCTCCTGGCAATATGAATGACTGCTTCGTGGCGTCACGAGCACTCGTCTGAGCACACTTGAATGTCCACCCTTGATTGTGTATAAGTGAAACACCTTGTTCTACTGTCGAGGCATCTCTCAGTCCTTTTTCTTTTGTGACTGAACTTTTGTGAACATTCAGGCTAAAAGCAATCGTTAGTTTAGGAGACTTCCTGCAAGTACTAAGCCACTGCTATAAAAATGTAGTAATTTCAGTCTTGGAGAAAAGAGCCTGCATAGACTCTGTCAAAAGTTGAACATCGAAGTATCACTTGTCGAAGACTTGTGGATTGTAGGAAAAAACATTTTCAATGCACCATGTTTGCAAAAAATCATATCAGATGCCGTAGGAGTTTACAAGGAAGAGCGTGTGTTTATGAATCCTGTTTTTGTGAATATCAATTTAGGATTTTGAAGAAAGAGAACACAGAAGTGTGCGGCAGGTTTTGGATTTCGATACCGCTACTCAAGTGTCATTCTCCCCAGATTGTAAAAGTGTGGTGTTTGCCATGAAGCGGTCGAATAGAGTGAGTCAGTTTTCGTTGTTATCGAACTCGATGTTCAATCTCTAACATCTAAGTTTTGCGGAAATTTTTTTTTGCATTTACAAGTTAGCTTATTCGGCTGGAAAGGTTTCTTCATCATTGCGCCTCTACTTTGAAGGATTTGGGAGAGATATGTCGTTCAGCTAGCAGTATTCAAGTTGGTGAAAAAGGAACCTGGAGCGTCGTACAAATTTGTTCACGTTGAGAACTTATCTTTCCCATCAGTGCACACACTTGACATTTCTCGCTCTGGTATTTCATCGAATGGTGAGGCAAAATTCTTGTTCTGTGTTATCTTGAAGCTACTAGGAGCTTGCATGTATTTGTTGAAACTTCTTGAGATTCTGAGCCTTCATTTATTTCTGATCGCGATCTCTTCTCAAGGGAAGTTTTTGATGTCGGCGTCACCTGACAACAAGATTGCTTTATACGATATTCATGGCGAACTCTTAAAAACTTTGGAACCCAAGGTAGATTCGCTTTCAACATTTTTCTTTTGTCTTCATCACTTTCTCTGAGCATTACAGATGAGTTCTCTGTTCGATGTAGTAATATCACCTGATGGTCGATTTGTCGCTGCTTGTGGATTTACAACGGAAGTTTTTGTTTATGAGGTATTTTTATAGCCGATATTTTTAACTTTCTTCTTCTACGAGGCTTTGGTTCAGGTCATCTTCAATCGGGAAAAGGTGTTCCAAGATGCCAAGAGAGTTTTCGATCTAAAGGTATGCAGTATTAAAGCTTTATCTGAATTCATATATTCGAATGAAATAGTGATTGGCAGGGTCACAATTCTGGAGTTTTTGCGGTGGCTTTCAATGCAAATGCTTCACGTGCGGTTACGGTCTCGCGTGATGGGTTTTGGAGAGTGTTCGACACAGACATACGATATGCTCAAGGCCAGGAAGCGACAATTATTAACAATTGAGTTCTTCATTCTTTTTATCATTTACATTATAACGGCGGGACACTTTCCTAACATTATGAAAATTTCCTACATAAATTTTTTTTAGAGGAGAATGGTCCTTGCTGAAGGGAGCTAGTGCAGACCGTGTTCGCTTAGCTATTAGCCCTTCCGGTGATAGTTTCGCAGTCTGTTGTGCTTCTACGTTGAAAATATTCAGCAGTGAGGATGAACACAAAGACTTCCCAGAATGTACGTCGTTAAGGCGTCTTTTTATTGCATCTTTTTCAGTTCATAATAATTGCATGTTCTAGTGAATGATGTGCATGGTGATCAGCGGATACTTGTCATCAAATATTCACCATGTGGGCGATTAATAGCTACTTGTGGAGACCGGTATGTTCGTGTATTTCGGAACATACCTGAGTATCACAGCCAGGTGATGCGACTCACCAAGGTAAGCTAGAATGTGTTAAATTATGTACAACTTTATTAACATTCGAAAATATCCAGAATCTGAAGGATGTCACTGGTGACGCTCCGAGAAGGCGTATGCTTGAGCAAATCGAGGAGGCTAAACAGATTCTGGAAAAGTATGGTGTGTAAGCAAAAGCACCTAGTCGTTGCTCGTGGAGAGTTGGCTGTTGAATTGTATTTATAAATATCCCCTTACGCTACGGTGTAAGCGATAGAGAACATTGTATGAGGTTGAACTTTTTGATTGGCGGTTTCTTTGAAAAGCTTGCTATAATCAAATCGTAAAGCAAAAATTTAGAAAAGACCTATAAAATAATGCAGCATAGCTCACTTACCTATTGGTCGGGCTGGAAGGAGAATGGCGCACGGGAACCTTACAAGATCTAAGTTCTAAAATAATTCGGGCGATTTTTCGTNATTTATAAATATCCCCTTACGCTACGGTGTAAGCGATAGAGAACATTGTATGAGGGTGAACTTTTTGATTGGCGGTTTCTTTGAAGAGCTTGCTATAATCAAATCGTAAAACAAAAATTTAGAAAAGACCTATAAAATAATGCAGCATAGCTCACTTACCTATTGGTCGGGCTGGAAGGTGAATGGCGCACGGGAACCTTACAAGATCTAAGTTCTAAAATAATTCGGGCGATTTTTCGTTTCTGTTGAAAGAGAAAATGAGTCGTTCGAATACTTTGTTCTCGTTGTAGAATGAAAGTAAAGCACTTTTTCGTGCGCGTCGAAGGAACAGCGTCATTCACTAGATCACGGGAAAAATTATACGCATATCGACTTGTAGGGGAGCGGTCGTATTGTTCAGATGAAGAACTAACTGACTGATCAAGCTTTTTGCGGAAACCGTCTTTGCATTCTTCTAAGCTGCAAACAAATGCCGATACGTCTTAGAGAATCCTGCCATAGCGTAGTGAACGCTTGGGTATTTTATTTATTACTGATATTCTTTCGACATTGTTCATACCGGTGTTGAGAATTTATTCGTTTGTTTTCTGTTTGTTGAATTTGTTGTAATGAAGACTTGCTGCACAATGGTTTATAAAACATGTTTTTATTTTTTTATTTGTAGTTTCTTAGCCCCCCC